ATTTCAAGGTCCTGGAGTGGCCTAGCCAGTCTCCAGATCTCAACTCCATAGAAAACCTTTGGAGGGAGTTGAAAGTCCGTGTTGCCCAGCAACAGCCCCAAAACATCACTGCTCTAGAGGAGATCTGCATGGAGGAATGGGCCAACATACCAGCAACAGTGTGTGCCAACCTTATGAAGACGTACAGGACACGTTTGACCTCTGTCATTGCCAACAAAGGATATATAACAAAGTATTGAGATGACCTTTTGATATTGACCAAATACTTATTTTCCACCATAATTTGCAAAAAAATGTGTTCCAAATCAGCCAATGTGATTTGTCTGGATTTGTTTTCTCATTTTGTCTCTCATAGTTGAGGTCTACCTATGATGCCAATTACAGGCCTCTCTCATCTTTTTAAGTGGTTGGATGATCCAGAAGAGGATTGGTAGAATGTCATATGGTCAGGTTAAACCAAAATAGAACTATTTGGTAGAAACACAACCCGTCATGTTTGGAGGAGAGAGAATGCTAAGTTGCATCCAAAGAACACCATACCTACTGTGAAGCATGGGGGTGGCAACATCATGCTTTGGGGCTGTTTCTCTGCAAAGGGACCAGGACGACTGATCCGTGTACAGGACAGAATGAATGGGGCCATGTATCGTGAGATTTTGAGTGCAAACCTCCTTCCATCAGCAAGGGCATTGAAGATGAAACGTGGCTGGGTCTTTCAACATGACAATGATCCCAAACATACCACCCGGGCAACGAAGGAGTGGCTTTGTAAGAAGCATTTCAAGGTCCTGGAGTGGCCTAGCCAGTCTCCAGATCTCAACCCCATAGAAAATCTTTGGAGGGAGTTGAAAGTCCGTGTTGCCCAGCGACAGCCCCAAAACATCACTGCTCTAGAGGAGATCTGCATGGAGGAATGGGCCAACATACCAGCAACAGTGTGTGCCAACCTTGTGAAGACGTACAGGACACGTTTGACCTCTGTCATTGCCAACAAAGGATATATAACAAAGTATTGAGATGACCTTTTGATATTGACCAAATACTTATTTTCCACCATAATTTGCAAATAAATTGGTTCCAAATCAGCCAATGTGATTTGTCTGGATTTGTTTTCTCATTTTGTCTCTCATAGTTGAGGTCTACCTATGATGCCAATTACAGGCCTCTCTCATCTTTTTAAGTGGGAGAACTTGCACAATTGATGGCTGACTAAATACTTTTTTTGTCCAACTGTAATTGCTGGTACATCTAAGAACACAGCATATAATAACTGTTTTGCTAGAGAGAACAAAAAAAATAAAAATAAAAGCCTGTTAAAGAGCAATAGCCAAAACAGAGCTGAATATGTCAGAATAGCCAATACCCCCTCCCTTCGCTCAATAGCTGTTACCTATATCATATGATGCACTGCAAAACCAGTGTGATGGGTGTTCTCTATTAAAGTGCACACACAATCACCAAGTATTCCCAGTATTGTGTGGACCTTTCCTCTGCTGGCTTCAGCAAAACATACCAAACATACAGAGTCCCACAGTCTGAAGGTTAAATACACTCAGGACTAGGCCCTGTGAAATCCAAGGCCATTTGTCACAATACACACAAAACAAAAAGGAAGATTTTTTACAGATTTCTTTTAACATTGTCGCTGTCTGTGCTAAGGGACAAAGGAAGACGGATGTTAATATAGCAGATAAATGCTAAGACCTCAGAGTAACTTTTTTTGCATAGACCGCCACCTACTGGCTGCAGAAAGTGGTAATTAGGAAAGATGCAAAACTTCATATTTATTTATTTCAGGTATTTATACAGCGCTGACAATTAACGCAGCACTTTACATAGTTGCACATTCACATCATCCCTGCCCTCAAGCTTACAATCTAAGGTCCCCATCTCACATGCATACAGTGACAATTTTTAGACAGGAGCCAATTAACCATCTAGCATGTCTTTGGAGTGTGGGAGGGAACCGGAGGAAACCCACGCAAGCACAGGGAGAACATGCAAACTCCTTGCAGATGGTGACCTGGCCGGGATTCGAAGAAATGCTAACCACTACGCCAGTGTGCTGACCATTGATCTGATTTTTAAAAAAAAGGAAGGTCTGAATTTTTTTTTTTTAATATAACCACTGTTTAGATGCGACATAATAACACCGTTACTTCTATATCTACTTGTTTAATTCATCTGCAGATCCAAGACGCGCTTCGATCTGCAAATGTCGATTGACGCAACATGAGAAGGGGGGAAAAAAAATATGTTTTTTTTTAATTCAACTGTACTTGTTCCTTTTTAACCCCATATTATGCATCAGTTTAGCCTACACGACTCCTACCCTCCCTTCGAAAATTTTTTTTTATTTATTTCTCTAACAGTTAAACAGAAACTTTTTCCCCCCTCATATTTGTTTTGTTCTTTAATTTGTTAGTGTCGCATTTATATTTATAAAACATTTTTTAAAACGGCGTGGGGGGGGGCGGGGGGGAGCATTTATTTAATTTGTAAATAACTTTTCAATGCTTTGTACGAGAATCATATTTGGAGTATAATTTTAAATGGAATTATAGAAGTTTATACAGTAACTTTTTTTAAACAAAAACTATTTAAAAGTTGATTTTTTTTTTAATGCAAGCCATGGACAAAAAAAACAACCTGTTTTGCAAGAAAATATCGCCAAAAGACAGACTTGTGTGTCCTTTAAAAACCCAATATGTATTTTTTTTTTTAAAGTAATTTGAAAAGTTATTGCCAAATCAATAGACCCATAGCAGAAATGAAACAATTGTTCTGGTCCATGGAAGGTGTTCAGGTGTGAGAGTTGAACTGGTTAAGGTAAACATTACAATAATAGCTCAACATATATTATACATTTAAAGGTAACCGGTATTGAGAGAAGTATGCGCACTGCCATTGCTGATCTCCTGACACACTATATGGCTCCTGCTTCAATACTTTTCTCAGTGGCTCCCGTGTCAATACTTTTCTCAGTAGCATTTTTAGAACTCAATAACAACCTGCATAACTTTTCAGCAGGGATTTTCTAAAGCGTTTTTGTTGAATAAAGCAGGAAAGAGTTATAACTTCTTTGTTTTTTTTTTGTATTGCGGCCTATGCCCTAACTGAATTAAAAGGAAAAGACAAAAATCCATGAAAACAAACTGACAGATCTCAACTATTTCGCACTATTGGTCATATTTATCCTCATCACTTAGTCATTTGGGCAGAAAGTGATGGAAAATTACCTTAGTGTGGATGGAAAACATTAGAAACTAAACAAGGTCTAACCATTCCTCATTTAAGAAAAATAAAATTGTTTTAGCTATTATTTTTGAAATGTATGAAATCCTCAAGCAGCTGCTCTGCACCTAGCCCTAAGCATGTCCAGACACAACTGTAACAGAAGTCATATATTAGGCAATGACAAACCGGTTAGTTACAAATTTAACCAATGCCAGTAACTAAATGACTGAAATGAGGAAGAAGTCAAATCAAACTCGCCTCAAGTGTATGTACATTCTTTTTTTTAACATCTTTGGATACATTAGGCAACAAGAAAAACACTTAGTCTATTGTGCCCTATTAGGGAGATTCCTTTTCAATTCTTGTCCTCCAGACACAACAGAAGTGACAGGGAATTTCCCTCATGGAAACATGTAACCCCATTGGAAGAGTTACCCTAAACTTTCTCTTAGCAAAAACTTTTCATGGGCTTCTAATCCTTCCTTACTTAAAAAAAGTATCGGTACTCGTACTCAGACCCAAAAAAGTGGTATAAGTGCATCCCTAGTATTATCAAATAAACTTTCTTCATCAATTTAGGCCAAAATGTTTAATGCTACACTAAAAACAAATACAGTAAGTGTGAATCTCCCTCTATACATACATACATACACACACACACTATATTTGGAATTTGTCTACCCTGAAATTACTGCTATTATGACGCCCGTAAAATGCCAGACAGTACAAACTCCCCCAAAATGACCCCTTTTTGGAAAACAGACACTCAAAGTATTTAGTAATAGACATGGTAAATATTTTGAAGTTCTATATTTTGCCACAATTAAAAAAAAAAAAAAAAAAGGATATTAAATGTGATTTTTGTTTTGTTGGTATGGTCAGCATTTATGGTGCATTTATACCTTCATGGTGCCCTGCTGGTGTCATGCATTAAAAGGAAAAAAACAAAAAACAAACTGCTTCCTTTAGGCCTCATTTATATGCATATAGAGGGCATTTCTAAACACATGTAAATGCATATAATATTGTGAATTTTTTATTACCTGCATTTTAGGTACTTTCGTTTAGAGAAAATAGAATTCTGCGCATCCATGGTCTGATAAAAAAAGCCAAATTCCACAAAACACGTGTAAATGCATCTAAATGCATATCAGCTTTGTGGCAGCAGGGAGACTGCACCATATGCAGATTAATGGCATTCCTTTGTTTTTCTGAAAGATCCGGGGCAATGGCATGTAAAGATAGGTTGACAATATACTAAAATTGGCACAATGCAACATATTTTTGTGCACAAGAATATACTGTTTGTAACATAGCCTGTTTTGATTGTTTTAAACCTTACAGATTGGAATATGACATCACATGCAAAATCAATTGGTCTTGGTGTCCTTGTTCTCATCGAGTGTTGCTTCTTTAAAATTTGAATTTTTTTCTTGCATGGGTTACCTTGATAAATGTGCAATCCCAAAAACACAGCATTTACAATTACTTGGATTTCTTTTCAGGGGAGGAAAGTGTGCGGAATAAAAGGTTAGCTCCTTGCTAAAAAGTGCTTCTTATTGGTCAGTGTGGTCCCTCCTGACCAATGAGTGCTCACCATTTGCGAGCAATAATTCTAGATGCTCAGTAGCGGGGCTGCAGTGCTGTGCACAGTGTACACCGGCTGGCACAGGGGGGAGGGTTGGGGTAATACCACTTTTCTCAAGTGGTATTACCCTTTAATGCCAATTCATGCTGAGTAGCCATATATTGTGGTTACATACCATTATCCACGGGTGGTTCATAAATTCTGTGATGGTCATTCTTTGTGTTGGATCAGTCTTCAAAAGGTTCCTTATCAGCTGTTTCACTAAAAAAAAAAAAAGTATATAAAATTACGACTCAATTACCATCAACTGGGGACTATAAACAAAGGCTAAAAGGCCTTCCCCCCCCAAACCATTCATCCCCCCACCCCCCTTTTTTCTTTCACTTGGTACCCCTGTGAATAAAACCTGTCCCTGGGTGGCTACGCTTACTTCCGCATTATATTTGCAGAGGGAGCCATCGTTGCCATCCAGGTTAGGCTTGAAACATGTCTTCCTTTGATCATCTCACTGGCACTGAAAATTGGGTAACTTGTAGTTTACATTAGAAAAACAATTGTTTTATGCTTTCCAGCTAAGATCAGCTCACAGGTAGTCACAAAGACATTTCTAGAAAGAACGGATATTTTCTGCACTTCCTGATAATGTTCTTAGCCTGAAAAGAAAACGAATGCAGCCAGCACATCTTAGGACTGGTAAGCTGCAACTGAGACCAGTGACGTACATAGTAAGTCACTGGCAGCAGGCCCGTTTAAACAGACACCTGGCAGAACGCTGTATACATTTGTAGAGCCAGCTGTCGGCTTTAAAATTGAAGCGATTCTGGCGGCTCAGCTGCTGTGAGATTGCTTCTACAAGTGCCTGCCCCCACCCAAAACCCCCACATGCGGGCCCAGCAGGAAGCTGGGGAGGGGAGTGGCAATAGTCCTCTCACCGATCCCCTCCCCGCTCTATGCGACCAGGAGCGATGCACATTACTTCAGTCCCTGAGCTCCTGAAGCCGAGCAATAAGCTATTGAAGTGCCAGAAAATTCCTACCAGACCTAAACGGCCAGGTATGACTTTTGGGGGAACATGACTTTTTTGGGGGGTCCCTCCTAACTTTCCTACCAGACCTAAATGGTCTGGTGTGGATCGGAAGAGGGACCCAACAGGGTTTTTTCTCCATCAATATTTGTAGGGAGAAAATCTGCTTCGGCAGATCACTCTCCTCGCTTCAGCCCCGTGTTTGGCTGAACCAAAGGGCTCCAGCGGCTGAACCTACGGCTATATCCTTCGGCTCCTTTGTGAATAACCCCCTAAGTTATTTAGTAGAGCATACAAGGGGTGAAGCTTCTGCTTTGCCAGGATGACTAATGAGCACATTCGAGTACTTGAGACCTAAATTACTGCTTTGCTAAACCTGACAGACACAGCCAATTATGTCAGATATATAAAGAAGTATATGAGAATAAAAACAAAGGCGTTACCCACTGCAACATGTTTTTAAAGGTGCCGTCTCTTGGTCTGTCATCCTGATTCTACAACATAGCAAGTCACTATTCTGGAACAAGCATGTCACCAGTAGAATCAGACATCTGAACAACAAGCAAATATACTTGTTTTAATTCAACTACCTATAAGTCAAGCAAGCACTTAGATAGGTCACAGAGAATTTATCTGCAAGCTTAAAAATAGACAAACCAGAGTATGCGTTTCCCTCTTTAAAATAAGTATAAATACAACTTATGGAATGGAGGCTGAAAAATGATTTAAGTGTGTTTGATTTTATTTGTCCATCGTCACTCAGCAATGTGCCAAACAATCCTGTAAATCCTGCGTGTAAAATAAATCTTCATGCACTTCCTTTCATATGGTAAAAATGCTCTACCATGCTATTCATTTCTGGGAAGTGATATCACCCTTGCATCCACTGTACCTGAGTAAGCTATAGAAACCTGCGGCGAGGTCGCAGGGAACATGTATATCAACATAGTCATCGCTGATTCAAATGCCTTAAGCTTTTCAATCAGCAGCTGGCTGCATCCACTGTACCTGCATGGGCTATAGCAGGGCACGGTCCTGTCATAGGTAATGTGGATATCAGCATAGTCATCATTGATTCACAAGTCTCTAGCATTTCAGTCAGCATGGGGTCAAACATGTTCTGCCCACAAACCTTCCACCACTAAAATCTCACACAAGCACTCCCCAATCATTAGGGTGGGACTCAAGTGGCCATGGACGTTCACAACAAACTGCCACTCAATATAGCTCCGCTGTGTCACCCATTAAAACATCAGTCCTTGCCTAAATGCCCTTCTGCTCCACGGGAGGTTTCTGTCCTCCCTGAGCTCGCCTTAGGACACCTGCGTTACCGTTTGACAGGTGTACCGCCCCAGTCAAACTCCCCACCTGCCACTGTCCTCGCATCAACATGCAGAAAAATTGTCTGATAGAATATGTTCTAGGAAACCAGCACATTATTTTTTTTTTAAAGTTTCACAATCTAGAACACTCTTCGCGGACTTTTTTCCCCATAGTTCTCTTTAGGGTAACTGGAGTTCTGCCTATCTAGAGGCAGAGCCAGCTGTACCCGCCCCCTCCCTCATCCGTTCCTCTGCTCAGCGCTGGAGGATCATAGAGGGGAATCCCTGCAGGGAGCGGTGACTGACAGTCACTGTTAACTGCAGGGAGACTTTCAAAAAGTGAGCAGATCGGTGCATGTTTCTGCTCACTTACCGACCTATAGAGCCGACCTGCGACAGCTTCTTTGTCACAGGTCGGCTCTAACTATGAGCATGAGTGGAAAATCACTCACCTCATAGCTTTCCTTTAAAGGTTTTTAGACCTCTGTGCTCACGCCTAAAGCCATTATTCTCTCACCTGCTGCCTGATAAAATAGAGAAAACATCACCTATTTAATACCAGATCTTCATCTAGCATCAGGTGCTCATTCATTAGATCACAGTTCACAAAAACGACAAACACAACTGACAAAGTGCATTTCAAAATATTGACATATCTACTTCTTTTATGGAATGGTTGTTACAAAATATCCAAACAATATCAGTTCATAAACCTTGAAAACATGTAGAAAACTTCTACTCTGAGGACATCTAGTGGTGAAGTTTAAAAACTACTTCACTTACAAAATTAGGAGAATGAAAAAAGCAGGGAAACACCAAAGCATAACAAGCAAAATAGAATTTTACTAACATTTTCCCGGTCTAGCTTTTTGTCCATTGAGGGGCAAAGGAATTCGGATATTGTTAGAGATAATCCAAAAGCAGTCCAACTGAGGGGTGGGTAGCTGATGTGGTGACTGCATTTATATTTTTGCTTTTTTCCACTGGCTATTTTTAGCATAATATTTCACCTGCTGAGCCTGCCAATAAGACACGTTCAATTGCTCCCTTTAAGGGTAAATTCATGGAATAGCCAAAAAACCCTCAGTAGAAGATACCCCATCAAGGACCAATGCTTGGAGAGGTTTGAACATAGACAAATTTAGCACAATTGCCCCACAAACCTCACCTTCATCAGACACTTCAGACCATTCTGGATTAGGAAACTCATACTGCCCCATGCGAATTCTCTTCTTCATTCCTGGAGATATAGCCAGTCCATGGTTAGAATAAAATGGTGGATATCCACAGAGTCTGTGAGAAAGAAAAAGATAGGAACTTTAAAAAGCTTAAGACCTAACAAACAAAAGAAATGCACTGTACACAACAATTAGTGGTTACATTATTAATGCCACACATGTACAAAACTCTGGCCTCTCAGAGCAATATACAAAGCCAGTTGTATATGCCTATAAAAGGATCAATCTCTTGTTTATAGAGCCATATTTAAGAGCATATCTAGAAACAAGCCTTGGTTTGACCCAGTGACAAGCTAATGGCAGAAAATGTTGAATGTGCCTAAAACTACCGCAACCTAGGCTCCAAAATGTAGCACTAGATGTGCTACACACACAAAACACATACATATTTTTAAAAATCTAAATTATTTGATGCACGGTATATAGCCACAAGCATCCCCCTGGTGCAGCAAAACACTTATTTTATAGATTCAAACAGCAAGTCAGCGCTAGCGATGCATCAAATTCTTCTACACTGCTTAATACTTACAAGGGAGGCAGCCAGTCCAATTGGAACGGGAAATTCTCACAGACATGCAAAATATAAAACACATGGGGCAGCGCCCTCACCATGTGAAGCACATTGACTTTATGGGATATTTAAAGGGTTAAAAAAATACACTCAATTAAAATTCATATATGCAGATGTTGTAAATCAATCTCCAGTCTTAAAGAAAGACTCTTGCAAAGCTGATAATCATCCCATCTATGGGCAGGATCCCACTGGTCACCATAACCTGACTTGCGCGTTTCTGGGGTATACCCCCTTCATCAGAGTCAGGAGACTCTGATGAAGGGGGTATACCCCAGAAACATGCAAATCAAGCTATGGTGACTGGCGGGTCTAGGCCCATGGATAAAATGATCACCAGCTTACTATGTGTCTACCTTTAATCCTGCAGACTAATTTACAAGATCTGCATATATGAATTTTAATTGTGAGCACTTTTTAACCCTTTGAAAACTTTTTATAATTGGCTGAAAACTCAATTTATTCTCCACGAGACAGAATTTACACTATAAAAAAAAAGCAAACCAAAACAACATTTCATTGTTCTGTACCTGCCACAGAATATGAATATGCATTTTCCCATGGGGTTTTGAAAAAGTGAGGAGAAAAATAAAAAACGACTCAAAATGGTACTCATTCGTTCGTATGGCCACCACGTGGATGCCTGACAATGTCGGGGCATGCTCCTAATGAGACGGCGGATGGTGTCCTGGGGTATCTCCTCCCAGAACTGGATCAGGGCATCACTGAGCTCCTGAACAGACTGTGGTGCAACCTGGCGGCGTCGGATGGACCAAGACATAATGTCACAGAGATGTTCTATTGGATTCAGGTCAGGCGAGCGTGGGGGCCATTCAATGATATCAATTCCTTCATCCTCAAGGAACTGGCTGCATACTCTCGCCACATGAGACCGAGCATTGTCGTGCACCAGGAGGAACCCAGGACCCACTGCACCAGCGTAGGGTCTGACAATGGGACAAGGATTTCATCCCGATACCTAATGGCAGTCAGGGTGCCATTGTCTAGCCTGTAGAGGTCTGTGTCTCCCTCCGTGGATATAAAGAGTTATGGACACCGACACTCCAAAGTAGAAAAACGTCTTTTATTGACGCATCATGCAACAATACACTTATTGCAACGTTTCGGGGTCACACAGGATCCCCTTCATCAGGCAGAACAAGTTTCTACTTTGGAGTGCCGGTGTCCATGACTCTTTATACTTTGCCTGGACGGTGGCCATCCGTCGACTACTGATTCACCCAACCCATTCATCAAGGATTTAGCGGTAAGGAGTGCAATGGGTACACTGACTATCCCTCCATGGATATGCCTCCCCAGACCCAGACCATCACTGACCCACCACCAAACCGGTCATGCTGAATGATGTTACAGGCAGCATAACGTTCTCCACGGCTTCTCCAGACCCTTTCATGTCTGTCACATGTGTTTAGGGTGAACCTGCTCTCATCTGTGAAAAGCACAGGACGCCAGTGGCAGACCTGCCAACTGTGGTGTTCAATAGCAATCAACCTCCACAGTGCCAGGCAGTGAGCACAGAGCCCACTAGAGGACGTCAGGCCCTCAGGCCACCCTCATGAAGTCTGTTTCTGATTGTTTGGTCAGAGACATTCACACCAGTGGCCTGCTGGAGGACATTTTGTAGGGCTCTGGCAGTGCTCATCCTGTTGCTCCATGCACAAAGGAGCAGATACCGGTCCTGCGGATAGGTTAAGGACCTTCTACGGCCCTGTCCAGCTCTCCTAGAGTAACGGCCTGTGTCCTGCAATCTCCTCCATGCTTTTGGGACTGTGCTGGGAGACACAGCAAACCTTCTGGCAATGGCACGTATTGATGTGCCATCCTGGAGAGTTGGCATGCCTGTGCAACCTCTGTAGGGTCCAGGTATCGCCCCATGCTACCAATAGTGACACTGACTCTAGCCAAATACAAAACTGGTGAAAAATGTTCAGAAAAGAGGAGTAGGGTAAAAAAATGTCAGTGGCCTCCACCTGTAAAACCATTCCTGTTTTGGAGGTCATCTCATTGTTGCCCATCTAGTGCACCTGTTCATTTCATTAACACCAAAGCAGCTGAAACTGATTTACAGTATAAAAATAACATGCGTTAAGCACATTATTGCACCATTCATTTTTGATGGCACCTCAACACGCCTGCATTGCATATTTAAATACTTTCAGGTTATTTAACAGGGCATTTTACTTAAGCTGTGTTTTTGGGAGGATAAAGCACATCAACTAATTTGCATTACTACCTTCATGAATAATAAACAATTATTAAAGTTCAGCCAGAACTAAATAAAACATTGAAAGATTTTTACTATTCAGTTAATGAGTGCTGAAGAGCAAAGATTTTTATAGATAAGAAAATGCCGGGATTGTCCGAAACAAAAATCAGAAAGCATTTACTATAATGCAGCAGCAAGGTTTGAAAGGGGCATCATTGCAGGATACTATAGATGGATATATCATCAAGCCAGGGTACTCGGTGTTATCCTTGATTCTGAACTCTCCTTTCAGCCTCACATCCACTCACTATCCAAATCTTGCCGACTCAACCTCCGTAACATTTCCAAAATACGCCCCTTTTTAACAAACGAAACCACAAAGCTTCTAATTCACTCCCTTGTAAATCTCCCGTCTCGACTACTGTAACTCCCTCCTTGTTGGCCTACCACTAAGCAGGCTATCCCCCCTTCAGTCTATCATGAATGCTGCTGCCAGACTCATCCACCTTACCAACCTTTCAGTGTCCACTGCTCCTCTCTGCCAATCTCTCCACTGGCTCCTACTTGCCCAACGAATAAAAGTCAAAATACTAACATACAAAGCCATCTACAACTCCGCCCCAACCTACATCACTGACGTCATCTCAAAATATCTTCCAAACCGTCCCCTCAAGACCTCCTGCTCTCCAATTACCTCCTCCCATGCCTGCCTCCAGGACTTCTCCACAGTGTCCCCCATCCTCTGGAACTCCTTACCCCATTCTGTCTGCCTATCTCCTACGCTGCCCACCTTTAGGCGATCCTTAAAAACCCATCTCTTCAGGGAAGCCTACCTCATCTCAACATAACTGACTTTTACTTCCTCCAATAACTCAATCCAAACAATTATTACCTTTTGCATCACTTGCCCCTCCTACTAGATTGTAAGCTCTCACTAGCAGGGCCCTCCCAACCATATTGTTCTGAAACTGTATTGTACTGTAAATTGTATTGTAACTGTACTGTCTCCACTATTTTGTAAAGCGCTGAGCAAATTGTTGGCGCTATATAAATCCTATATAATATTAGTAAATACAAAAAGGCAGATATGGGCGCACGGGTAATTCTATACCTTCTAAAAACATTCACACCTGTCCAGCATGTTGTAGTTAGACGTAAAACTTCACTCTTTTCAAATAGCTTTCCAGTACCGCTACACCAGATAAGCTTTGTGGCCTGAACTCTGCTCAATGGCTGCACAATCCTTCCTCCTCTTTAACCCTCTTGTCACTACCCTCGCCAGATACTAATAAAACACTATTTGCACATCTTTAACTAACTTCCCTTATTGCAGAAACCTCTAATTTCCTTAGTATGGTTGAAACCCATTATTATGTAAAAATAAACATTGTTTGTGTTGTAACTTACTGGCAATCCAAAAGTTTGCCAGTAAGTTTGCTTCTTTAAGGGCCTGTTCACACAACGTCCGTTTTCTGTGCTGACCTGATCCGTACGCTCCTGCACTAAAAATGCATCCCGATGTATCCCTATGTGTTTTATGGGCTACAGTTCTCACGTGCGCAGTCCGTTCAGGTTACGACAGAAAAAATACAGCATGTCACATTTTGTCCGGAAACGGTGAGGAAACACACGAACGCGGCAAAAACGCAACGAAAACAGAACGGAAAGCAATGCAGCTAAGCACAAAAAAAAAAGATAGACAGACAGGTTGAGGTAGAGGTAAAGACAGGAACTGCAAACATTTTGAACATGCCCATTACCTTTCCATGGATATACGAGTAAAGGAAAAAAATGTATCCGGGTGAGCTCGCAAATCCTCATATAAACTCCAGAACTGACCCTTGGAGTCCCGGAGCCTCAAGATCGGGTGTACCTAATAACAACGTCTCCTGCAAGCTCGTTCCCTGCAGATTGCTGTAGCCAGCACCATCAACATGCCTGCAAACATGTGATACATGTCTGATCACCAGCTTTACATACACAAAGGGAAGTAGAGGTTACCAGAGGGCGGAAGTGACCTCAGGAGGAAGAATCTGCATACTGACAGCCTCACGGCTTGAACAAAAAAAAACTGTCAGCATCTGTACTGAAAACGCATCAAAAACGCACTGCATGAGTAGCACCGTGTCTGCAGATCCACACCTAAACAGGACCTGAAAATCATGTGAACATGCCCTAAAGGCAAAACTGCCAACTGAGGAGCTGTAAGTTGTGCGTTTCTCAAACTGCACATTCTAACATTCTTACGCTCTTTTGCATTTGTGCATCTACGCCTTCTGCTTATTTTTCTGCCCTTGTTTTTTCAGTCTACTCTTTTCTTTCAAACCAGTAGCAGACATCCCTTTTTAGCATTCTGAGGCATGTAATAACTCCTATTTCCTAAAACTGCATTGGAGTTCTACGTTCCTTTTAGAAAGTGTGTGTTGTTTTTTTTCCGTCTATTTAACCCAAGATGAGGGCCAAAAACAATAAGCTGTACACACACACACACAAACTTCATACTCTCACACGTTCTACCATATGGCTTAATCACAGAACTCTGTGATCAAGCCATAACGATGGAGAGCTGTACATCTTATTTATGCCATGGATTAAACAGTGTATGGAAGATTTAATTCTGGAGTGAGGTTTCCCTTTTTACACTTGGATTTAGTGCCCGTCGGGCTATGGCGTGCCCTTGGAGCCCGCACCTGACAAACAGATGAGATCCTCGGACTGTGGAGTTGGATGGGAGCGGTGTGTGTTGTGTGTGAAAAAATGGTTAGTTGCTCTAGAACCCTATGAGGGCCTTCAGGTATGACAAAGAGCAAATGTGACTATTTGCTTTTGCAACATGCGGAGAAGAAAAAACAACCACCTTCTGATGGGCAGACATAGACAAAAGAGGGAAGAAAGCAGTATAATTAAATGTAAAAGAAAGACATCACCTTGGAAAGAAAACACCAGATCCAAGGACAACACCTCTGTCCTTATGAAGCGCTAGAATGGTGACCTGCACCAGAGCTAGAGCTACCATTTCGGACAATCTCCTCTCCAAGATGCATCTTGAAAAAAAAGGTACCACATGCGATCACAGCTAATCCCTCCACCATGCCAGGAAGTTCACCTGCTTTAGCAGACAAACTCGTTCATCACAAACTATGATAGATAAAATGGAAGGTGAAATTAGCACCTTGGAAGCTTCGAATGACATCAAACCTTTAAAACAAGATCCCAGGCGGCTTCTCGGCTCTATTACAAGAAATTCTCTACAGTTTTTGGCCCTCGTCTTGCCAATCTTTTCATTCATCTCTGTACTCACAGCGATCTTCACCCCTTTTGCTTAATGGTACATATAGTGATGCTACTGAAGCAAAGTAAAGATCCCTTTTGACCACACACTTACAGACCAATTTCAATCCTTCACAGATGTGAAATAGTCTAAGATTCTTACTGCCAGACTCATTTTCTTTCTCTAATTGAAAAGGTGGGCTTCATTGATAGGCCTTGGATAAATACTCGCAAAGTAATGCAGCTAGTTCACGTAATGCACCAAAAACATATCTAAGGCATGTTACTGGAGATAGCTAGATAGATAATATATCTCTCAAGCATGTAATGATTTGTCTGGAATTACACACGCTATGCTTTACAGTGATGGGGGTTTCAGACTATATTGCTTGCTTGGCTCAAGGCACTATATTGTCATCCTTCAGCTAAAGTGCCATCTTGCCCACTTTTCTAACCACCAACCTAGAGAGGGGAACCCAGAAGGGGTGTCCCTTCTACCCTATCTTATTCATACCCACTTTGGAGCCTCTCACAGGTTATCAGATCCAAGCCACATATCAACAGAATTGAATTGGGGCCCACTTCATACAATCTAAGCTTATTCGCTGAGGATTTCCTTCTGACCATAACACAACCATTTATTACTAACTCCAACCTATTTCCACCCTTTCTTCCCCTAATATGTTCTCCAAAATGTCTAGCCTCATTATCAAGGAAAAAATTGTCAGCTCTTACTATATCTCTTCAAGAAATATGTTAACCTCTTCCAAAGACCACTTCTTTTAGAGGCCCAAATCTTATATAGAATACGTAGGCATACACAACCCTTTTTAAAAACAGCAGGAATCTTTATGGTCCAACCTAACCATTTTCAGCATTCCTTACCAGGACTACCATTATGTACATTAATGATTGGAAGGTCTCTTTAAATCGGATCTCAGACTTTTGTCTTCTAGTTTGAGATTTTCCTACCTTTAGCCATGTACTCAAAAATGCATTAGTCTAGTATGTGAAAACGAAGATAACTTAGAGAACTATGGGGCGAGTGAAAATCACTCAGCCTCACAGTTCTAGCCGGCCTGTGACGCTCGCTCACTTCTCGATCCTGTCCCTGCAGAGAGCCGTGACTGTTACTCACGGCTCCGTGCAGGGATCCCCCCCGTCCGATCCTCCAGCGCTGACTGTCAGAACGGATGGGGGGGAGGAGGGGGGCACAGCTGGCTCTTCCTCTATATAGGCAGAGCCAGCTATCACTCACGCAGCTGGGTGGATCCAGAGAGTAATGTCGGGATCCGTCCCGGCTGCAGCGTCTCAGTATACCGCAAGCTGTAGCTTGCGGTATACTGAGCTTTGGGTGACGGGAGGACGCTAGTTTATGTCCTCCTGTTAGCCTTAGGAAAACTATGGGTAAATAACCCTGACCCCATAGTTCTCCTTTAGTATGCATCTCACACAGAAGACAGGAATAAGACAGGTGCATCAATAAGCACAATACCCCTGCCAGCAGTCAAACCAGCTATGCAGTGTGTATGAATACATTGTAGCGCAAAACATAAGTCGTTTTAAAGAACTGTTAAGACAATCTTACAAAAAGTCATACAAAAATCACAAGAAAATGTACCAAACATGTAGCAGTAATAACACTAGTAATACTTACAAAATATACATAATGACACCAAGTGACCACATATCACACGACTTGTCATATTTTTCAGGGCCTAGAACTTCAGGTGCTATAAAAAAAAAGGGGGGGGGGGGGGGGCAAAAAAAAAAACAAAACAGAAGGTGGGACAAACAAAAAGACACATCAGCAGAATAAAAATGATAATGTACACATCAAATGGATAAACAAAATGCCTGTGATGCTAACACAAAAGTTGTAATTACAACAACTACTATATTGCTGCATGCATTCACTGTATAGTCGGTCTGATTTACAGGCACCTACTTGGTAGGAATGTGGCATTACCAAACCAGAACCCCAATGATGGATTCCCTGAGAATAGAAGGAAACAAAATCTGCCTGTCCTCACACAATTTTGAAGATCACTATATTACTCCACGATTTTTCCCTAAAAGGTTTTAACTCCAACACCATAAGTAATAAGTCAACAGCTCCCTCAAAAGACGACACAAATTAAAAAAAAAAAAGACAAATTCAAGCTTGAACTGCAAGGGCAGAAAGTCCCAATCCCCAGTTGATTGGTAATTCTTAAGGTCAATGTACCAATCAGCAATCCATAAAAGCCCATTGGAACTTAGGTTTGAATTTGTTAAATATTTTCCACGTGCATCAACCCATAAGTTGTTCTGGCGATACACTCTGCAGTTGAATGAACAAAACAGAGTAGATGGAGGAATCTTCCCTGCTGGCTATATGAAAACCAGATCACACAGCTGTCAGAATACCTAAACAGTGACTCAAGTCAATTGGCTGTAGCCACTGCTAGGAAAACAATTGCACCAAGTTTGAGAAACTTCAAATGAAAAATGGTCTTGTCTGCTACTGCAGCCATGAGCTTGTTTTAACCACCTCAGTTCCAGCCCATATGACATACGTCCAAAATCCTGAAGTGGTGTATGTGTAACAAAACCAATCTCTTCTTTTCCGGATTTTGGATAGAGTAGGGAAATTTTAAAACCTCTACAAGTTTTTTTTTCCCCCACTGTTCTATGGGAGAGATTTTCCTGTCCTGGAAACACAACAGTAAATCTCTCCAAAGTGAGAAGAATTCCCATCTTAGAGAGTTGTCACAGGAACAGGTGTCTCAACCGAAAGATTGTCCCTCAGCGCTTGCTCTGGTGCGGGCTCTAAAACTTTTGATTTTCCTGTATTTTGTTACATTGACAATAGTCACCTAAACAAATAAAGGGGCAAGGACTCCCTAGTGTGGACACAAATAGAAATCTTAAAAAAAAAAAAAAAAAAAAAAAAAAAAAAAAA